CACTCACTCACACACACACACACACACACACACACAACATCATTCTCATTCACTACTGAGACAAAAAACTCTTCATTTTGACCAAATACCTGAAACAAGCTCAATAAAAGTCTTGATGAGTCAAGAGAAATATTGAAAATATGCTGATAATATTTAATTCTAAACCTAAAAGTGTTAAAAATCGAACTAAAACAGACCTTATAACAATGTTTGCTGTGTTTTGTATTTTTATGTTAGTAGAATATCAGGTCAACTCTATGGACCCTTTAACATCATAAATTAATAAATTAATAGTGTGATTATCAAATCGCAAAGGCTGCATTTTATATAAACTATTTAGTTTTAAATAATATAATTAAATATAATTGAATCTTTAAGGGCTGTCTGTGGTTTTCAGTCAAAATAAATATTTGATGGTTTAACGTTTAAAAATGAAGAAATTTCATTAAATACATGTTTATTTATTTATTTTATTATATAACAAACTTTAAAAACTTAAAAATGAGAAATGTTGCCTAGGCAACTAATTCAAATAAAAAAATTAAAAAAAACATTTAAATTGAAGTACTAAAATTACTAAAACTAAAATAAAATATTAATTCAAATAAAAATATATTTTCTCACACACACACACACTCACACACACACACACACACAAGATCATTCTCATTCACTACTGAGACAAAAAACTCTTCATTTTGACCAAATACCTGCAACAAGCTCAATAAAAGTCTTGATGAGTCAAGAGAAATATTGAAAATATGCTGATAATATTTAATTCTAAACCTAAAAGTGTTAAAAATCGAACTAAAACAGACCTTATAACAATGTTTGCTGTGTTTTGTATTTTTATGTTAGTAGAATATCAGGTCAACTCTATGGACCCTTTAACATCATAAATTAATAAATTAATAGTGTGATTATCAAATCGCAAAGGCTGCATTTTATATAAACTATTTAGTTTTAAATAATATAATTAAATATAATTGAATCTTTAAGGGCTGTCTGTGGTTTTCAGTCAAAATAAATATTTGATGGTTTAACGTTTAAAAATGAAGAAATTTCATTAAATACATGTTTATTTATTTATTTTATTATATAACAAACTTTAAAAACTTAAAAATGAGAAATGTTGCCTAGGCAACTAATTCAAATAAAAAAATTAAAAAAAACATTTAAATTGAAGTACTAAAATTACTAAAACTAAAATAAAATATTAATTCAAATAAAAATATATTTTTTAAAATAATAATAAAAAGGACAAAAGCACATATAACAAACTGGTAATGTTCTGCCTTTCTTTCTTTCTCTTTCTTTCTTTCTTTCTTTCTTTCTTTCTTATGTACATTTATTTAACACTATACTATGTGTTATATTACTTTGGCATGAAATTTCAGAAAACTAGTTGTTGGAACAAATTAAAATATATTGTTGTAGTTTCCATTCACAACTATGGAAGTTTACCCACTATGATGACTTCTGCTTGTGAGAAATGTGAAAAGGATGTCTACTGGAATGAGTTGAGTCACTAGTGAGCTGTGATTCGCTGCGGATGCTGCCTGTGAAGGCCACGACTGAGTCTGAAGCAGGAATGTGTTTTGTGTTTGTGTGTCAGATCACAGCCGTGTGCAGAGAAGCGGCTCTACAGGCGCTGCAGGAGGACATCACAGCCCAACACGTGAGCACCGGACACTTCGACAGCGCTCTGAACACCGTCAGACCCCGAATCCCTCAGACGCTCCTGCAGACATACACCAACTACCAGCAGAAGCACGGAGGATCACGCGTCTGACAGCAGCCAGCAGAGACACAGCCTTCATATGATACTGTACACATAAACAATAAAGACACGTTTCCACTTATTATTGCTGTTGACTTGTTTTGTGTGTGTGTGTGTGTGTGTGTATGTGTGTGTGTGAGTGAGTGT